AAGATGGCCGATGCAAGAACGAATGTATGGTCGTGCGCGACAATGATAACGACGATTGTAAGGCTCTCACAGCTGAGTTATCTGGATAAAGGGACAGTACTATCTTAGGATCCTTTGCCTCCTACTTTTTGGTAAGTAGACCATCCTCTACAGGAACGAATAAAATTCCACTCTTGATTCGAGCGGCAAGTGTCTTAATGACACAGTAGTTTATGTTATATTCCAGCTACTTCGGCCATCGCCGAGGATTATCTCAATTTGAGAGTAGCCTTTTGTGATGTTTGCACAACTTACCGATGCAACTATTGAAGTAGATTTCAGTCTCCGGATGACGAGGGAATTTTAAATCCACATGTAATTAACCCTGGATTTTCGCTTTGTCAATCCAATAGTGCTTCCTACTGGGTGTCAATTAGGGAGATAATTCCAAGTTTGCGTCCTAATTGGGTTTAAAACCTACCACAGGGCTAATGCAATGTATGCTATCCAAAGTGTGATTTATACTCAGGTTCTAAATCCAATGTATAGAATATCTTACTTCCGACCTAGCCGTCAAAATAGTTTAGTCCATTTGTTATAACCTCTTTTATGTTAAAAACCAGGAAAAAAGGCACCTAAAGTCATTGAACTTTTTCAAATCATTTAATTAGGTGTCTAATCTTTTGTTTTGTGGAGTTAGATCCCTGAATTATATGTTTTTTTTTGTTCAAGTGGGTTCTTCCATCAAAATAGAAATAAAAATGCTGATATGAACTAATGCGTCAACACAACGACAATGCTGAGTAACAAATTAATGTTTACTTTTAATTTCATTATGTTAATTGGATAAAATATTTATAAAAAAAAAACCAGAAAGAGAGAGAGAGAGTGCAAAATAGAGAAGAGGCTGGGAGGGTGTTAGCAGGAGAGTTGGAGTTCGAAACCGATTGAACAATTCATAAAAATTAAGGGATTTCTCGTGCCTTTTTCCCTAAAAGCTTCCCTCAAATAACGTTTTTTTTAAATAAGCGATAACAAATTAGCAATTAAAAGCAAAAGATCAAGAATAACTTAGGAAAAAAAATCTCAACTTGTTCACTTTCTTTTATGATCATTTCATGTTGGCACCTGAATTTTTGCCGACAAATCAAAACATACATTTTTGCAAAAATAAATAGATGGATCAAGTAGATAAAAATAAGTAACAAATAAGAAATAACGTAATAAAACAATAAGCCCATCAGATCGGCCCAGCACTCTCCAGCCCATCCATAAAAACCCGACCACCTCAGCTTCATTGGGCTCGGCCCGTCAAGCTCGTGACATCCACAAGCACAGCCCAGACCAATAGATTGCACCCAACCAAGCCCATGAAGCAGGACCCCCTCCAACCACCGATAGCCACCGTTCATTCTCCATCGCCGACCCGCCCCCCACCGACGCAAAATACATACACGTAGAAAACAGAGCATGCTAAGAGATACGGAGAGTTGAGCAAAATCCTCACGGTTCATAAACTTCTTCACTCTCATTCCTCTCTTCCACCACCATGACGTGCGCCATGTGTTTTGGTGTTTAAAAAGGACCACCATTCGTGCATACGATGATGTGTCATGCTCGTGTTTCCTTTTGAATAAGTCCGATCTTGGTTATTCTACCCATGATTTGATTGGTTCATGACGTTGAGGCCATTGGATGTCATCACATTGTCTTCCATTGAAAATTTCGTTAGTGTTGGCCGCATATTTTGTTGCGAAATTCACCAAAGAATTGCGCGGGAATAATCACAGACACTTGTTGGCCAGACTTAGTTGCTGCGTCGCATGATTCGTGATGAGTTTTGGCATCCGTTAAGCCTGATGGTATCATGAGTGCTTTTTAGAATTGCATATTTAGAGATTTTCTCGATGTATGTCTTCGTTTTTAATATATTTTAGTGAAAATCTTTTAATAGATAGCTCTCTCTAGTCAAGATTAGATTTTGACTTTGATTTTGAAATTAACTCACGGGGTTCATGTTTGGGGGCTCAAATAATGAGCCTCCGTGTACTCTTTTGCCCAATGTCGTATTGGGTTTATTTTCCCGCATTTCATAAATGTGATAATTTCGTGTTAATTTGTCACGCCCCGGATCCCACCGAGCCCGCGACATCCCGTCCATGGTCGAATTGAACGTGACGTCCCAGGACGCGTCGCCAATCCAAACGAACTACGCAAGCGAAAGCGAAATAAAACAACCCAGACAACTAATATGATGACGAAATGATAGCACGAAACAATAATTGCATAACATCATAAAGTAGTCACTATTACAGAACGATAACTGGGCTACCAATTTCAAACCACAATTTTAAAAAGGGGGCGGTGGTTGACAAGCTTATCTCCTCTACAAAAAGGTACTCAAAAGACAGGGTAAACTTGATCTATCCTTCAATCCCTGTAGTACTCTGGCGGCATCTTCGAATCGATCACGGTCGCGAATCTGAAAGTGGTTATATAATAACCGTGAGAACGAGTCTCAATAAGCAACACCCTAAACCCTACGTAGGCCAATGTGTACCCAGACAAGTCGTACAAGCAATCTAACCCTCAACACAGAGAATTCACGTCATTGTACTTACCTCACCATCAAACGCATGCTCTGCACGTTAGTTAAACGTGATAATGCAATATTAATAACCTAATAACATATCACAATCACTCAAGCACCAACCACACTAGCACTCAATCAATCCAACCAATTCAATCACACATTCAATCGGCCAGTCCAATCAGTTCAATTAATTCAATCACACTCAACTCGCATGCGTGGCCGAACAACTTTCCACGACCTCCCAGGTCCTTTCACACTGCCCGCGCCACTGCGCCTCAGGCCCAATCTCACAGCCCGCGCCACTGCGCCTCAGGCTCAGCCCTCAAATCAAGCCGGGCTCGGTCCCGCGTAACCACACCTCAGGACATTTTTCCCCTTCCAATGACCCGCGTAACCACGCCTCAGGTTGGCAGCCCTCCGATCAATCCGGGCTTTTCTCATGCACATGCACCGTAACACAATTCGCCATTCTCACAAGTCGTACCAATCAAACTCAAGGCATGCTCGCCACAATATTCCACCAACCCGACCTTCAAGTCGGCCACATTCAGCTATCAATTCCACTCACAAACGCCACGATAAGCCAATCATTGACCCACCAACAATAGCCACAAATATGCACCCACAATCATCCCAATTCCAAATCACAAGCTTATGATTCCGACATTCAAGCCGGCTACCATCACACGTCAATTTTCCCCACACACGCCACGACAATACGGATATTTAACCCACCATAATTAGCCACTAATTAAGCTCCACAATTATCACAATTTAATCTAACAAATACGCACATACGAATATTGATGCTAATCCACGTTTAGCCCCTAACCGATACTAAACACATCCTAAACAAGTCTAAAAATACCCATAGTCATAAATAAGGATTAGGAGGTCACTTACTTCAATTTGGCCCGGGAAAAATCCGCACGGGCTCAAAATGACCCGGATGAATAGTAACGGGCGAGGGCGCGACGGGCGCGGGGCTCGGCCACGGCCCGGCACACGGCCACGGCCCGGGGCAGTCCGGCCACGGCCTAGGCACGCTCGGGACGGCTGGGCAGCGGCTAGGCGAGCTCGGCCACGACTTGGGACGCTCGGGCAACGGCGATGACAACAGCGGTTGGGCTGTCCCGACGAGCACAGCGGCTGCAAGTGGCTAGGCAAGGTCGTCGGGGGCCGGGTGGTGGCGGACGGAGCAGCGGCGGCGGTCGGAAAGGCGGCGCGCGGTGGCTGGGTGAGGCGGCGCTGGGGAGAGCCCAAAACAGGGGAGGCGTCGGGGAGGAAGAAAAACAGGGGAAGGAAGGTGGTGGCGGCCAAGGGAGGCAGCAGGGCGGCGGAGGTGGCTGGGGGGAAAGGCTGGGTGGCGAAGGCGGAGCGGCAGCGGCCGAAACGGCGGCACACGGCGGCGGCGAAGTCAGGGGCCAAAACAGGGGAAGGCGTCGGGGAATAGAGAAACAGGGGGAGAGGAGGTCGCACGGCGGCCGGAGGCGGCACGGCGGCGCCGCGAGTGGCCGGGGCGACGCAGACGAGCCGGCGGACAGCCGGGCAACGCCGGGCAGCGGCAGACGTCAAAGCTGGCTGCTCGCGTGCGCCATGAGCGGGCAGCCCGGCAGGCGAGCGGAAGGGGGCCGACAGCGGCAGGGGCCAACAAGCGGCGGTCGTGGGTGATGAGCGGCGGCGCGGCTCGGTCGGGTGACGGCGGCGCGAGGCAGACGGCGGACGGTGGCTGGGCTGATCCCGGTGAGGAGCAAGCAGGAGGCCAGAGCAATCGCGGCCGGAAGAGAAGACCAACGGAGAAGAAGAAGAAGAAGAAGAGAGGAAGAAAAGAAGAGAAAAAAAAGGAAAAAGAAAGAAAGAAAAGGAAGAGAGAGAGAGAGAGAGAGGAGTGGATGGGTCTGACAGGGGGGGACAGACGTGCGCAGGGAGAAAGGTGACCGGAGAGAAAGAGAGAGAGGGAAAATCAAAATGTCATCGAGTGCGATCTAACGGTCACGATTCGAACCCACAAACGATCCAATGGTCCAAAATTAATCCTAGAATATAATAAGGGAGAAAGGCCAAATTAATTAAATCACACTATCCCGAGGGAGGTCTACTAGTCCAAATCCGCACCCGGTCAAAAATTCACTTTACACATATCATGGGCAATCTCGAGGCTGGCCACAACAATATCGACACCGTCCAATTAAATTCGTCCCGGAACTCCGAGAAATTCGACACCAAAGTTTGGGCTCTAAATAACGGCAAAATTCGATCGAATGCGATTCTATTGAAATCTCAAATTTAAAAAAAAACAATAACCGATAGTGATCAGTTCCCGGGCGAAATTTTACTATAAGCACACTGACGAATTACACGTTTTATAAATTCCAAAATTGGGCCGAAATTTGGAATGTCACATAATTCCTTGATGGTGATTATAAAAAAATGATTATTCAGTGTGAGAAGATTAATTTCATGTTAATCAATCTATCTCTATTATTTAATAGTTCCAAAACCATTTTCTTATCAACTGGGGATTAGAATGGGCACCAAATGTTTCATATAAATAACCAAAATATGAGTTAAATTACATTAAAATCACATCACCGACTTTTTCATCGTCCATGACATCAAAATATAGTATTTGATAAATATAGGATGGGCAATCAATCCAAATCCGAGAAGTAGGAAGAGCTATATGCCAATCATCGAACGACGATCTTCGGGATTTGGGGATTTTATTGTATCCTAGAAGCGACTTTGCTTATCCCATAAGCAATATAGTGGGGGCAAATATCACTTCAAGAAAAGGGATCACACACCTCAAATCATGAGTTTTTACGGGCGACGTCCATCTAAGGGTTCACCAGTCATCAGGATCAGGAACTCTCTTACACTGGGCAACTGCAAATCCGTCCTCCTCGAAAGTTCCATCGGTCCCGCTCCTTGAAATTAATGTAACAGCTCTAATGATGTAGTTGGCGAAGAGCTGTACAAGACGACAAGTGTACGCAAGCGGAACGAACAAGGCGATGTAAAGAATCAATATAACGAAGAGGGCGGTGATTCCAACGATCAAGGCAACAACGGTGATCCAAGTGCGTTTGCTTATGGTCACATAGACCCCTGCCATGAAGGCCACGGACATCGTGGCAAGAGCTATGAGTAGTGGCAGTCTTGCCATTCGAAGGGCATGAAGCACCACACACGAATCATTGACCTGCGTCCAAAGAAGGATCACAACTGCAATTATCGAGTTGTACATGGCAACGGAGTTGCAGATCACGAAGACATCGTACATGGGTTTGTTCAACAGCGTAGCAAATCCAGCATCTGATTCAGAGTCGTTAAATCCTCCAGGAACAGAAAGGCCAGCGGCGAATGTCACAGCAGCAATGAGCGTTGCCACGACCATACGGGTATTGACCTGGTCCTTTAGTCTATCTAAGTCCGGATCCCATCTCTGCGGGCTTAAACCTCTTGGCTTGGAAATTGCTTTGTCTTTGCTTCTTTGGGTTCCAGCAGATACTAAGACTATTTGTGTTAAGCGCTGGTGAAGCGTAATAGGAAAAAAAAAGATATCGTTATTATTCATGAAGATGGACTAACAATCAAAGATTTAGGATTAAAATAAATGAAACCCCCGTCAAGCGATACACAGATTTGCAAACGCATTCTTTCTGATCTTACTGTAGAAACTTAATTCCACTTGGTAACTTCAGGGGAGTTCAACGGTCAAAATAAACTTTAATTTCTTTTCTCTCTCCCAGAAAGAAGTAGCCAAAACAATAGTGAAAAACAATAGTAGACAACTTGTTAATTTATTTTGTAGATGTATCATTACCTCGTGAAGTGGAGCATCGATATCCCACGGTTGATCATCTACGATGTCAAGAGCCGTCAAGTTGCCGTGGTTTGTAATATTAAGATCGACTCTGTTGTCCCGGGTGAGATAGAGCAGAACCTCGGGTTGCCACTGTAATGTGGCTACATGTAGAGGAGTGTTTCCTGCCTCGTCTTTCGCATTTATAAGCTTCTCAAGCTTGGGATCGCCAAGTATGTACTTCACTACCGAGGCCCTTCCATACTTTGCCGCAATATGAAGTATATTTTGCCGTTCCTTTAAAGTAAGCAACTCTTCTGGATCTGGCCAATGTCGAAGCAGCTCCTTCATTGTTTCAAGATGACCCATCTTACATGCGACGTGGATCGGAAAATAGCCCTGTCTGTCACCCTTGATGGCGCTCGAAGCGAACTTGTCGACCAAGAATTCAACTCCATTGATGTAATTCTCATATGCTGCTAGATGGAGGGGAGTTCCCCATCCAGCATCTCTCAAATCAAATAGTTCCTTCTTTTGCTCTGACATCATTATCAGCATATCTACATCATTAGAGAGTAGGAAATGAATGACTTTGTGCCGTGCTCATGATCAAGGGTCTAGTAACTTTACCCTCTAACTATTATATTTTTCTTAAGATGAAACAAACATGCGATATTACGTGGAATAAATAATTGAAACCTCAACTTTTGGGGGATAATTTCAGTATAGACATTGGAGAATGCTTCAAAGCAAAGAGACATTCATCTCCAAGTAGTAGTTTTCCACATGGGAGTAACAAAGGGCAGCCATGACATGAGTCTCTTCCTCTTTCAAAAAAGGTTCTTGGACCATAATATAAGTGGTGTAGTATCTATAGTGGCTTATACTATGAGTATCGACTACTGAAATTTTAGCGTGATGACATTTTTTAAGGGGTAATTCTTGCCAGGTCTCAAGTCCAAACAGATCGTATTTGTCTTCTTCTGGTTTAAAGTTTATGGGAAATCTTCAATAATTGATTCTGACTTTAGAAAAAGGTTAAACCATTCTAGGAGAAGAATAAAATATGCGAGGACAGCTGCTTTATGAATGTGACTTACAGGTTCAACAGCTCGTATAGACACACATATAAATGGTCCGACTAATAAATTTACCCAAGCAAGTGCCATAAGTACAATAACTGACCTAACTTTTGGTGCATCACGGCTCCGTGAACCGGCGACATGCCATGCATGATTTGCATCCAGTGCGGAAGGACTTCATTCCCATCCACCGCTTGCAGCAAACGCAAGAGAATCTCCGAGACCCCCACCTCGACTGCCAAGTACAGTGGACACTTGTTCTCCTTGTTCTTCTTATTCACCGATTTTGAGCCTCGACGCAGGAGAAGATCTGTCAACTCGGAGTCACCGTTCTTCACAGCCTCATGCAACGCTGTGTTCCCTGCCTCGTTCACTTCGTCCACAATACTGCTGCAGTCAAGGAGGAGCTCGGCCATGCGGATCCAGCCTGCTCTTGCTGCGACGTGGAGCGGGGTGTCCCCTCTGTCGTTTGCCTGGGCGGCAAGCTGCTTGTCATGGATGACCTCCAGGAGGGCTCGAAGGATGTCAGAGTTCTCGATACCCGCTGCGACATGGAGCAACGAGTTTCCGGAAGGGCCCTGTACATGGATAATGTCGAACAAAGAGACCCTCTCTTCGGCAGAATACTTTTCAAGGGCTTCGATGAACTTGTCGATGTCGCCTTCTTTCATGACGGCCTGGAGCAGTGGATACGCACGACAATTGAATTCTACTTGGGTGTGTGGTTCGTTTACTGACTCTAGTGCTCTCAATCTGGCCCTTCTCTGCTCCCAGAGATCATCATCCTCGATAGTTATGCTCGTGCGATCGCGATCCATCTTTTGACTCTGAAATTTGAATATCGTCTCCTCCAAAGTTAAAACTTGTTTGGACTCTTTTGCGGCAACTCTTCTCCCAGATTAATTACACGGCCACAACTTGGAGATGTTTTCTTCTCTAGCTGTCAGTAAACATCTTGTGGCCAAGAGCATTTCTTCAAAAAAAGATATCTTTGGCGCGCGAAAACATACACTACGGAGTTCATTCCTGAACATTGTACCGCATTCATATCAAGAACATTGTCGGTAAAGACTATTCTACGCAAGTAATCCCTGGAAAATCTGCTAGCGCTGCGAAATTGCACAAGGCGTGAATCTAATATTCAGAAGATTTGGAAAAACAAATCCAATTCTAATTCGACCACAAAATGATTGAATTATCAATGTCGCGACCTTCCCGCGGCGCCGGCTCTCGAATGGGCTGACAAGGCTAGTTAAGAGGCGAATGGATTGTTAAGTCTAAACCTATGACTTAACTCGGGCTCTCCCAAGCCCATACCAACTCGCGACTTAGGGTTCAAATTATGGACAGGCAAATTAATTTTATCTAGGAGTCGTCACTAATCAGTTTATGGTGAGTCGATTAGAAACCTAAGTAAGGCGACGGGAGAATTGCCTTACTCTTATGAACCAGAAATTCACATTAGTTCGTTGACTTGATTATACTAATTATCTAACTAGTACTCTTTCGGTGCCTAACCTTGTTTAAACAACATTTAAAGACATTCATGCAGTCTTCCTAAAAATTGTAAATCCTAGGGTTTTAGTTCTAACTAAACTAAGGAAAGGACCATTAATGCATCGAAAGTGTGCAAACAATAGCCCAACATGCCTCTAATCGGCCATATGCAAGGTTGAATTAAACACGCGATTCAAAATATACAAAGCAAATAACGTGCAATTAATCATTGCATTAATCACATAAAATATGTAAGAAAAGGCAATTCCAAAGCCCAATTTCATTTTTTTGATTTTCAAATTTTTTTTAAATTTTTTAAATTAATTTTTTTATATTAAAATATTATATTATATTATAATAAACGGACCCGGGTCGGATACATCTGACCCGGGGGCGCGGCCTGGGTCCACTACTGGACTAGAATGGGCCTAGTCTGGCCAACCCTAAAAAAACAAATAAAAGATAAGCCCGGCCCAAACATATTTTCTAATCCAGCCCAGCCCACTAGACAAAACCCCAGAGTTCCGGGTCGGATTTTCATGCCCGACCCGGATCCGACCCAGCTGACACGCGACTTCCCCTGGCCAGACCCAACTCTGGCTTCTCTCCCAGCGCGACGTGGTGGCGACGGCTGAGACGAGCGGCGTTGCTCATCTCGGCCTGGCAGCGCGCCCACTCTGGCGTCGCCTCAGCCAGCTCAGGCCGCTGTTCCCTGGCCGGCTCCGACGCCATCGGCTGAGGTTACCCCTCTCGGCCAAGTGTGAAAACAAAACGGGATGCGACGAAACGGCCGAACGGCCAACACCCGGAAGTCATAACGTCACCGGGACCCCTTGACCGGGCGAGATGGTGCCTGGACGACTCGACGCTGGCCAAAACAACTAAACAAAAACCGGATATCATTGTGGCATTTCAACGAACAAGTGGTGGGCGCTTCAAAAATGAACGATTTTTGGCACAACCAAGACTCAAACACGAGCCGGGACGCTCGACAGACCACTTTCAACAAGCACAGCAGCCAAACAAAGGACCGACGGGGGCTGGAGCTCGCGCAAGCCGGACCAATGCGAGCTCCGGCCGGCGTGCCCCAAAAACAGGGGAAAAACAGGGGCTGGCCGGTAGCGAAAACCAGGGGCGTTGACCGCGAGTTGTCCCTACCCTGCTCGGCGACAGCGGCTTGGAGGCGAGCCCGAGACAAGTCGGGCCATGGCCAGCCGCCTTGGGGCCGTCGAACCGAGATCCTTGGGAAAAACGACCCCTAAACCAAACAAAAACGAAAACCAGCGAACCGGAACCTACCAAGGCTTGGCACGGGGGAGGGGCGACGACCGCGAGTTGTCAGCCGCGGCACGAGCGTGGCGGTCGACCGAAAAGCTCTCCGGCTGTCTGTCTCGCTCAATCTCTCTCTGGATCTCTCTTGTCTTTTTTTCTCTAAAAATTGGCACCCTTTTCCTCTCTCCTCTCGTCGGCTTTTATAGCGGGCCGGCGGCCACCTGCTCACCCCCTCTCCTCCACTCATGCTCTGCTTCATTCTACTCCACTTATTTTCGCTTGGTTGAACGGCGACCAGCCTCTGCTCGGCTGTGAATCGGCCACCGCGACGGGGGAGGAAAGAGAGGGGAAGGGGAAGGGGGGATGCCGGGCCAGCCAGGGAAAAGCTCCTCCGGTCCCGCTCCTTGAAATTAATATACCAGCTCTAATGATGTAGTTGGCGAAGAGCTGTACAAGAAGACAAGTGTACGCAAGCGGAATGAACAAGGCGATGTAAAGAATCAATATAACGAAGAGAGCGATGATTCCGACATCAAGGCAACAACGGTGATCCAAGTGCGTTTGCTTATGGTCACATAGACCCCCGCCATGAAGGCCACGGGCATTGTGGCAAGAGCTATGAGCAGCGGTAGTCTTCCCATTCCAAGGGCATGAAGCACCACATGCCAATCATTGATCTGCGTCCAAAAAAGGATCACAACTGCAATTATCGAGTTGTACATGGCAACGGAGTTGCAGATCACGAAGACATCGTACATGGGTTTGTTCAACAGCGTAGCGAATCCAGCATCTGATTCAGAGTCATTAAATCCTCCAGGAACAGAAAAGCCGGCGGCATAGGTTTGGTAAACACTTGAGATGCCTCATTATCCAGCATGAGAATTGTGACAGATTGTGAAAAAACATAAAGATGACACAACTTGAGATATAATTTGCCTCATTATAATGCCTCATTATCCGCCGGCAAATTATATGACGATAGATTGTGAAAAAACATAATTTGCCGGCGACAGATTGTGAAAAAACATAATTTGCCGGCGGCATATGTCACAATTCTCATGTGTGCAAAAATATCCAGCATAAAAAATATCGGCATATAATTTGCCGGCGGCATAGGTTTGCAAAAATATCTACGTGAAAAAGTTATGGATAATGAGGCATCTTTATGTTTTTATCGTAAACACTCCATGTATGCTATTAATTTTTGTCAATCCAAAATGATGAGATTTCATTGGCATTTAAAAAAAATTATTTTTGTACAATGTTTGATATAATTAAATTTCATCTTTTAAAGTTTCACATTGGAAAATATAACTGTGATTTTACTTTGGAAAATCTTTAAAGAGGGATTTTTTTTTTGTTTCATCCTATCATCGCGTTAGATTTATCTGTATATAAAAGACAACCGATAAGAAAGGATTTGATGGTGATATGCACACCAAATTTAAAGTTTATAAACAAGTCATTGTGTTAAAAATTGCATATCTTAATTTTTTTTTTAAGATTTTATTTGATAAACGATCTATAAGTTTGCTCAACAACGTAAAAAAGAATCATGTTTTTTGAATGTTTTCTTTTCAACAAAACTAATTTCTATGGAAGTAAAATCTAACAATAAAAAAGAAAACACGTGAAATTCTTAATTATGCAAAAACAAACGTGTGAAATTCTTAATTATGGCAGTTAAATCTTAGATAGAAATAGAAAAACTAAGAAAAGAAGGAAAGTAAATAAATTTTCCTCACCGATTTAAATTGCAATTAAATGATTTGGGGCAACTTTGTCTTTTTGTTGAAAATTGGGTGGATTTAGCCATATAAGGGATGGAAATAGTGCCGCCTGTTAGATAACAAATTAACTCATATGGCTCATTAAAGAGAATTACCTGTCAAAAGTATAATGAATATTTCGATGGAGGAAACCATATTCAAGTTTTTGGCTTTATGTTAGTATTTTTTTTTTTTGGACATATGTTAGTATAAACAGATAGCATTTAGGACTTCAATGGAACTGTTTTCAACCATATAAATTTAAGAATTCTATTCCCACAAAATTTTCAAAAACTATTTCCTTTCTAAATAGTGGCCAAAATCGCCTAATTAATCTTTTATATTACTATAATTCTAAAAAAGGTACTTTTATTTTAGATATATTGAGCTTATGTTTTTTTTTTAGATCAATAATTTTGAATTTGCTTTTATATAATATTATGAGATTTAGTCGCGCTTCCATAGGGCAGTCTCGTCTTTTCAACGAAAAGCTGTGCCTCGAGCAATTTTGACTGCAGAAATAGTTGTTGCCCTAGTGTTAAGTAAAGCGGGTCTTTTTCTCAGGTGCCATGAAAGAAAATCTGGCGAGTGTTCATTACGACATGTCACTGTCTCCGGATGGCATTTCTTTCTTTATTGGTCTGGTATCTAATTGAACCAGTTGGCAACCATAATCTCACCGACAATTCAATCTTGTCAAGCTAAGACATAAATTGGTAATTCCTTGACCAGGAACAGTAACCGCGTTCTTACTCTAGTGCCTTGGTGTCGTGGAAATTTCAATGCAAAAGCGAATCCAAGGCGACGCGTGCCCAGGAAGAAGAAACAATTTGAGGAAATTCTGATGCAGAAGGAATGAAAAGAAGTAGACCCAACAATGATGACACCGGAAGAAACAGACGGAGAGATTTTACAAGGACCCCATAGCAAGATTATTAAATTGCTCATCATCACGTGTAATACAGCCATTTCTGCTCTGAATCATGCCAGTTGATTGAAACGGAATCTCAGAAAAAGACCTGCCAATGCTTTAGCGTGCCGGTGTTGTCGGCACGATTTCAGTTTAAAGCAGCCCCCACGGAAAAATACACCACGATGCATTTAGGTGGCAAGAAATTACATTATTGCTCCTTCCTGTTTTGCCCCTTGTTTTCCCATACTGCAGTAAAGTTCTTTTCATAATTAAATTGATGAAAAATCGTCGGGTCGATCCTATATTATTAGTATCATAATCACTTTCTTTCTAACTACAATTCATCACAAAAATAAGTACATTAAAAGTTTTAAAAGTTATTGCAAAAATGTAATCAAGTCATAAAATTTTTCAAAATAGTGCAAGAGTTGTCTGTTGTTGGGCTAAGTCTGTATTTTTAATTCTTAGTAATAAGAAGGCTCTTGATTTTGTATTAGTTGGTAGTATATTTGGTTTGATCAAGTTGTTTGTCTTCCGGGCTTTATTTGAAACAAAACTTTCCATATACAGATTATGTATATATGTCTATTATCAGAATCCAGTCCTTGATCTTACATGAAACACCCACACCATGTTCAACAGTTCTGCAAATACCTCAAAATAGTACATACCCGGGA